CTTAAAAGTTTATTATGGAATTACTTAAATAAACGAATAAGAATAGATAGAAACCATTTCCAATATAATTTAATAAATTTAAAAATACTAATATTTCTAATATGTATTTTAATTTATAATTTATATTTAAATGTGGATCGATATATACTGAAATAATATTTAATTATTAGAGAATTTAATTTGAAGTGAATAATTTGAAGTGAATTAATAATAGAATATTATTATAATAGAAATAGAATAATAGAAAATTAATATTTTTTATATACATTTAAAAATTACTTTAAGAATAATTTTATGATAACAAGAATAAAACCAATAATCAAATTATGAATAAAAGGATGTCAAAATATAATTGATATATCTAAAATACAACATATTACAACATATTACGACTAAAGAGAATATATCAAGTTATACAGATAATGATTGATGATTATACACATATTGGAACAATTTCAAATTGCACGCGATATGAGATATGTCTGTGTATAATAATGTAGAAGTTGGAAATGTATAAAACAAAATCAACAATAAAAAAAGTATTACGTGATAATTTTTAACGGATCAAATTGTAATAATGATGCTTACCTTTATAAGTTGTGAAACAAATAGCAAAAGAAATTTATTAAAGTTTATATAGAATATTTTTTATCTTTCATTTTCCATTTCTTTTTTGACGACAAGATATCCCTGAAAAATGTATGAAAGTAGATATATTATTATTGTATTTCAAAACGAACACAAATATTATATATTAAATAATATATTATACAATGTTTTCTGATAATTGGATTCCAATCTACAATAACATTAGTGATACTATATACACATAAAAATATATATAACTGATAGAACTGTTTTATGATAAAATGAGAATATTTAGCTGAATAAGCAAATTCTAGAACACTTTATAAAATATAATTGGTTTACACACATTTAAAATTGGTTTAATTCACGTATTTTCTTTCTAGAAACAGATAATATCAAGTTTTGTAGTTCTCTTAATCCCATATTTCTAGAAGAAATAAACTAACACTTCAATCAATAATATAATGACAAAGGTGAAAAGAAACTTCGACTCTTTCATTTCACGTGATTAATTTCTTTATAAATTCATCATTTCAATTTCTACATCAAAAAAAAAAAAAAAAACAAAAAAAAGGAGAAGCTATGAGACATTTTAAGCAACTTGATGATAATTATGTAAATTATATATTGTATATACAAATTCTTTTTCTCACATAAATACGATTAAAGAGAAAGATATTAAGTTGTAATTATACGACTAACGATCGATAATTATATACTGAAAGAATTTTAAATTGCAATCTATATATAGCAATGGTAATAAAAATAAAAAAAAGAATAAACAGATGAAGAATGCAATGACAAGCAACAATTGTATCGAACACTTTGAACACTTTGAATTGATAGAGTACTCGCAAGTTTTTAGTGATATATATATATACATATTCAATACGAATACAATATTAAAAAAAAGGTGCTTATATATCATTTTTAGTGCTACTAAATTCATCATATAATAATTATCCAAAGTTTATTATTACTTGAATTATTTTTAAATTCGAAACTCAAGATTTCTTATGAATCAAATTTATAAAAAGATACATAACAATTTTCCTTACAGAATTTTTCTCGTTTCATTCATCAAAATTATTATTTTTCTATTCATAAAAATTACAAGAAGATTAAGTAAGGGAGGAAATGAATTTTCAAAATTTGAATCGTTTGAACGCCCTCGCAAACATGATTTCGGGAAACTTTTTACCGATGAACAATATAAATGAGAAATTATCCATAGTTTTGAAAATCTATTTCATCATCGCTTGGATAATAGAACTGATATACGTGACTGCCTCTTTTCTCGGACTTTTCAATGTATCGGGGGAAAGAGCGTTAAAGGATGGTACAGTGAACATAGCCATCTCGTTTGAAGTGATCATTTTCAACATATATTTACACAGTCGTAAAAAGTTGTTATATAAATTAATTGGAAAGTTGAATCATCTTCTGATTACAGAAGACGAAATATTTCAAAGCGTGATAATTGATACGGTGAAACCGTTAGAGATGCCTTTAAAAATTTATATAATTGCAAGTGTCGCTTCGCTTATGATATGGATATTATCTCCGTTGATCAAATTGTTTCAAAATAATGAATTTTATTACGAGGATTTTATAATTCCAGCCGTTTTTTCCAAACAACCTTTCTCAAACGATATTTTTATTTGTGGTATTTTTCTTCAATTGCTTGGCGGTGAAGATACGATAATTAGAAAAATTAGTCTAGATATCTATACCATATACTTGTGCCTTTTAATAACGGCTCAATACAAATACCTTAGAATCAAATTTGCGGTCATACTTGAAGAGAAACGTGAAATAACGAAAGATCTTTACAAGAATATTATTTGGCAAAACGATAATGTCAGACGGGAAATGAAGTTGTTGACCCGCCATTTTGAAACTGTAATCGAGTAACTATTCATAGAAGTTTAATTAACAGTAAATCTTATTAATTTTTATTATTTAAATTTCATAATATGAGCAATATTATTTTTTTCAATATATTTAGACATAATTCAATTTTAATTTGTATCGACGATTAATCACATCAAATTTTTAGTTATATATTAATAATAATTTAAATAAAAAAAATTTATAATTATTATAGGACGACTACTATATTGAAAAAATTGATTTCTCCCAATATTGGATTTCTTTACTTAAGCTACGTTTTCCGATTCTGCTTTCTGAGTTTTATGTTTGCAATGGTACATTTTATATTCCAATTTTTTTGTAGTAGAATCATATTTTTTTTTATCGTTTTTATTTATCATTTATTTCATAAAGAGAAAAGCTAATAATTTTTTCAGACTACGGCCAACTATTTTGAAAAATGTTTACTTACATCGTATACAATCGGTGCATTAATACAATTTTATATATTATGTTATTGTATTCAACATTTATTTGAAGCGGTATGATTTATTCAATTATTTGCAAAAACATGATTACATATCAAAGAAAGTAATTTAATTTAATTTAATTTACAATAACAATACAATATTATTTTTTTTAATAAAATATATTTTTTTATAAAATATAAATAATAAAATATAATTCTTTCAAATTATTAGAGTTCATCTGTAGGAGATGATGTGATATATGAAAAATGGTATTCTTACGATGTACGCTTTCAACGTGTAATTCTTATGATAAATTTGGCTAACGAATTAAAATGTAAAATATCCAACTTTCAAAATATTGATTTAACCTTACCATCTTTTATGTCGGTAAGTTTTCAAAGTTATGATTATAATTATATTTAAATATAAATTAATTAATACTATATCATAGAAGATAGACAAAAGTAGTGAAATGAAAAAAAAAAGGAGAAATATCATACAGGATATTTGTGAAGGTAGAATATCTAATGAGAAATTGAGTATATAAAAATATCGTGTAAAAGTTGTTTGGTATGTAGATAAATATAGAATGTTAATATATTCGTGAGATATATCTTTATAGATAGCCTCGATTCTAGAAACTAAAATAAATACAAAAATTGTTATTCAAAAATATCAGTCTTATTTATTATATTATAAGCAATTCAAGTCAAGTTTGTGTTATATAAAGCGAGGCAAAGAAACAAAACGATATAATGCAATGGTATGTCGCAGATAGAGCTGTTTTATTCTATTTGTGTCTTGTTTATAACGAAAATTTCACTTGTTTATAACTTAATAAATAAATTTCATTTTTAGTATCAACTTTTGCGTTTATTTTTGAATCGATCAAAGTGTTCCACGAATATATTAACATCATGTATATTGCATACAGAAAACAGCGAATATAATATATAGAATGTAGTAATGATAGAGATATATTCAAATTAAAATTTTTATTTTGATGTTCTACCTATACCTATAATTATTTCGATTATTAATATTAATAATATAATTGTACGGTTTTTTTTCAGATTCTAAATCAAGCATATTCGGTATGTTTATTATTTTTAAAATCAAGACAAGATTGAATCAAATTATTGTAATATCTAGTATTAATCAATAGTATATATGATACTTATGATTAAAAGTTTCTCATATTATAATATTTTTATTCAATTATAACATGATATTTTATTTAATTATAATTTTATTCTTTTTAAATAATTAAAATTATTTTAATATAGAACATTTTATAAAAAGTAAAGATTGAAATATATGCATATATCATATTCGTCTCATTTTCATCGAATTAAGTTATTGAAAATAAAGAAAATCGTTAAGAAAAAAAGGAAAGAAAAATAAACATTCTATATTTTACAGTATTAAATTATATTTTTGTATTAATTGATATAAACTTATAATATCACAATGAATATCTTTTTTTTTGAAATGTAAATATTTCAAAAGATAAGAACTCATTACAATATAATTAATTAAAATATACATGTATATTTTCTAAAAAACAATTATGATATATGGAATATAAAAATATAATATATGTTTATATGTAATATAATTTTTTATCTACTATTTAAAGAATATAAACTTAAAAATCTAGCTCTTTATTATAATAAAATCACAAAATTATTAAGATATTGTAACATATATAGCATATGATAGAGAAAGAGAATATTGAATAGTATTATATAATGTTTTATTTGGAAAAATAATTTATTAAGCTAATATATTAAAAATTCTGAATATTATAGAGAAAATAATATCAATTTATATCAAAAATTTAAAATTTTGAATATAATTAAACAAGTTAAGAGATTATTATTTTTACAAAGAATATTATATAAATTTTATTATTTATATATATTTGTGATTTTTTTAATAGGATTATTTTATATCTATATATTTTTCCAAATGAACATTGTTTCATATAACAAATGTAACAAAAAAAACAACTGATCACATTCAAAAATATCGATCAATATAGTTAATTTATTATCAACACACGATGATATATTATAGAATAAAAAATCTTGTTTATTATGATGAATTAGCAATATATGATGAATATATGACTTTAAGTATTTAAAAAATTAACTTTTGTTCGTGTAAGATGGCAATCATATACTTTACGACATAAACTATTTATAATCAGAAATAAGTAGCATAGTGTCGTTTTCTTTTTGACAATTTACTATTAGTTTTACATTGCGTCGTTCTACTGTGTGAAAAATTGTTGTCCTTGACTTCTTCTGATTCCCCCAAACAACCGGTAGTGAAAAATTCTATACTGACACCATTTTCGTCGTTACTACTTATCTCGTTGAATATATTTCGTACGTTCACGTTGTATGTGCATTCACTTTGAAGATGTTTTATTTCAAGATGCGATGTCTGTAAGGGATAAAAGTGTATCTGCTTCTCGAAATTCAAAATTATATTAACTAGTAATAATTTAAATGAATTTTATAACTTTAAATTATTTTAATTAATTCGTAATTCATTAATTACAATATAAAGTCGATATTATTAATTACAAAAATTGCAATCTTTTGCAAACCAAAAAAACGACTCCTGTTACCATTAATGGATTATAAATATGAGTACAGTTAAATGTTGATTATTCAAATTTCGATTGTTCGAAGTTTGATTATTCAAATGATTGATCATCTAAACACAAGACAAATATTTAATAATGTTTATGAAACATATCTTGAAATGATATTAAAATATAAACTTATATACACTCTTTTACACGATATAATGATCATCCATATTTAATCGTAATTTTGAAAAAATTTCAAAAGAAAGAAAGAAGCTAAGCTAATTCTGATTTTAGAAATATACAAGACTAGTTAAAAAAAAATAAAGTTTCGACTCATTTCATTAGTATAGATATAGTACCTGGACAACTTTCCACCAAGACTTCTTTCGATGGGATACGAGTTTTTCCTGCGATGTCGAGCAGGATGCCTCCCTCCAGGAGACGTTGTAGGCCTTTACATCGTGGTTCATCGGCCAAACTAAACGTGCCTTGACCTCTCCGCAGTGACAAGTCATTCGCCGTAGATGGAGATCGCCATGGTATCGCTCGCATCTGCGAGATCGTCTCCCCATATCGGCTTCAATGAAAGGGCACTTCTTCGTTTGTTATCCCAATTATTAGGCTCGACAGAAATACCAGTAGCAGATGGAAGAAGATCAGGCTGGAATTTTATCTTACCGTATATCATATAATCGGTGCTATTGAAAACTTTCGAAGCCTTTCGCGAAACTAATCGGCGGCCACCGTACAGCGCGACAGCTTGTACCTGAAGAAAATACTGGCACCTCACCTCCAAATCTTTCAGCTCGTAACAAGTTTTGTCCTGAAATTCGACAAGAGGAGAATCATTTTTCTTTTCAATTTTCGTTCCATTTCTCTCTGTATTCGAAAGATAATTCGACAAAAAATTGCGCCATATTCGATACTTTTCATCGATATATGCGTATTCTACACAGAGAGATAGCACTTTTTATGCATCTATAATTAATCTAAAATTACAAAAATGAGATATCGATAAACGAAATTATGATTTTTAATATTCAAATATTACATTAGATTATTAATTATTAGTGTCTACTTAATGAAATGATTAAATTTAATTTTTAAAATTTAAATTTAAAGTGGATTGTTAATGTAGACATACATGTAAAACTTACTTTGAGAATTGTTTTGTGATAAACAAGAATAGAATCATTAGTGGGGCCATGGACAAGACGGCTCCAGAACACTTTGTAAAACGTAATTGGCACATCTGAGGCTGGTTTAATCCATCTAAGGGTTATACGTAATTTTCCATCTACCAGTCGAGCGTTGGATAAAGTTAAATTTTGTGGTTCTTTTGGATTCCGTGGTTCTAAAAGTAACACGAATTTTCAATAATTTTTTTATAAATCCATCTTTTTTATATCGATCTAAACGAATTAATACTTATTAGAGTTGTAATTGATGTTATTCGTGGAACTTAATTTTTAACATAATGCAAAGGCAAATAAAAATAACAGAACAACGAGATGAATTATTAATTATTTCTTGAAAATTAATCAAAACAGTCTATGGAAATAATCATTTTATGAAATGATCTTAATTTAATTTCATCAGCCAATAGTTAAAATATTTCATATGTTGATTTAATTTAGTGCAGATATTTTGATTACAGATAGTTAGATTTAATATTAGGAATAATATTCTTGCTTACCTCTCGTTTTGAATGGTCTGGATGGTTGAGAATATCCTCGAGAACCATTCCCATTAATAACTGCTACGCGAAATTGATACCAGTGTCCCGTTTTTAATCGTTCTCGTATCGTTACGTGAGATTTCGTTGATATCTGACGAACCATCCAAGAGCTTAATCTAGATTCTATATACCTGGGCCCAAGTAAATGCCGTTCTTCCACTAAATATCTTACATCTTCGTTCTCGACGGAATCATTCGTTCGTTGGGTATTTGAATTTTGCCAAGACAATAGAATCAAATTGTTTTTCTGTTGTCTGATTTGTATATTTTCAGGAATTAGAGGTAAATCTGAAAAAATACAAAAATATGCAAAAGATGAGAATTTGATTTTATAATAATAATAATTTATTAGTTATATAATATAGAAGAGTAAGATTGTTCAAAATTTTTAATATAGTTTATAAATAATATATTCTTCATTTTCATCTTTAAGAATTATTTTTAACAATATTATTAAATTTTATTAATATAGATGAAATATATATATATATTTTTTTTTCAAAGTAGTTATATCAGAAATAAAAACTTAATGTTCCAGGAATAATAACAGGACTAAATATTTAAGTAAATTAATTAATTAATCATTTATTTTGAAATATAATTTATGAAAAATTTTCAATATAAATTTACAAGGAAACATATCTTGACAATCCTGGGAATTATTATCGCGCGTGAATACTTTTTCAAGTGTTCACTTAATGCATGTTTCATATTGATAATATATCATGCCTGTGGCTAAAATTTTTTGTCATATGCATCTCAATTCAGATAAATGAAATGCAACGTTTCGATAGGCCTTACTTAAGCAGTTGAGCCGCGATTTACTCATCACTATTTTAAACTTCATTTATATCTTATTCGTATCTTACATATACAAATCTAACATCTATTCATATTATTAATTGTGTAGATATTTATCGTTAAAATATATGGATATCATTATCATTGCAAAATTTTCATTAATAAACTGTTTCTAAGAGTTAATTAAATAATTATGAATCTTGTAAAAAAATTTGCAATCTTGTAAAATTGCAACAAATACTTCACATTATGTATGTGTACTACTACATACTATAGTATATATATTTATCTTTTATGTTATGTGTATAATTTAATAAATTTGTAAACAAATAAATAACGAGATATAAAAATAAAAAATTGTTGTATCATATCGACAGTGACAAGTAACAAAATCCAATGCATACCAGTTACATTATTCAAACCGATGGGATGCATACACGTGACACCGCAATCATGCCTGCAACATTTTGTTAAATCTGGACAACGAGAGTCATCTACGCAAGCTATTAAACAAACAGCTTCGAAGGGTGTCATGGATGCTTTATCAGGACAGTAACCAGGTTTTGTATAATTGGATTCCAAGCAATTTTCCATACACTAAAACAAAGTAATATATCACAATACAACGGTACAAGTACGTATACAATACATGTACATACACACATACATAAAACAAAACGATACATTCATAATTATATACATATATAATAGTAATATACATATATACACACATACATGTACACATATACTTCAAATATTATAATACATTTAATTATACCGTTTAATATCAACTTTTCAAGTTTTCCAATATTTTTTTTTTTTTTTAAATATTTTATATAAAATATTTATTTTTATTGGAAAAAAATATATTAAGCAATATATGAAGTGGCGATACTTGCCAATAAAATTATAAGAGTAAATTGTGAAACTATCATTTATAAACTATCATTTATTGCTACATTAATATCCCATTAATTTTCGAATAAAGATAAATATTTTTCATGATTATAATTTGCAACAGATTTGTTCGCAGGTTTTAAATATTGAAAAGTGATTTACAACCCAATGGCTTTTCAATTTTATATTAATTTTTATTTGTTTTCAGAGATTGATTGAAAATTAATAGAAATTGAAATTTTGAGAGATTTTAGACTCTCAGAATTCGAAATATAATATATATATATTTGTCTTTTTCTTCTTTTTGAAACAGATATTTAAATATTATTAACAAATTTCCATTTCTAGAATTTTTTTAAATTCTGAAAGTCAATAAAGTAATCATCATTATTTGACATGCATAAATATTTCGACATACTTTAGAAAATGAAAAAATGTTTAATAGGTTTTAACCTAAATAAGAAAAATTATATAGAAGAAAATACTCATCACTAATATCTGACTCTGCTTACAATTCTAGCTCTTAAAACTGTGATGTAAAGTGTAGAATAAATATTGTTAGCTTAGACAGCCCAATTGACAAACTTGACAAACAATTACATAATTTTTAAAAATTAAAAAGAATTAATTTTTAAAAAATGCTAAAAAGATTCAATTTCTCTATTATGAAACATTAAATAAATATAATAACAATTTATTATTGAAATTTCATAATATCCAGTAAAGATTTTGTTTTATGCTTTGATTAATATTTTTTTATTTATGAAAAAGAATATATATATAAGATGAACATATATTAAACAATTTTTTACAAATCTTAATGTAAAAGAAATTAAAAAACCTTCGGATCGTTTAAAAAATTCAATTTCCAAGTTACCATTAAAATATTCATTAAATCAAGTATTTAATCTAAATAAATATCTATTTTTAGTATCATAAAGTTTCTTTGATTTTTACATACAATGTACGATTATTTAGATAAGATTCTAAACATTTGAAATACAATGGCGAGAAATGAGTTTTAAACGTTTGAATTAATTCATGATTATACAACGCTCTATTTATTGTATTAGTTAATCTACTTCAAAAATCAAATGGTTAAGAAATAAAATTAGAAATTAGAGCGTATTTTAATGCTCGTAAATTTTCAAATTTCTATTTTGTTTTCAATTTTCTTCATTTGTAACGAGATTGTTATTCGATCTATATTAAACAAGAAAGTGTTTCAACAAGAAAAGTAAAATTATTCTAGAAATTATTTTTGTTCCAACTTGTTACATAAATTTATCATAAAAATCATTTTCTCGAAATATATCATCATAATAATGAAAAATAAATATAGATATAACGAAAATATAGATACACAGTTTTTTATACATTCGTCAATCTTTCTGTATAATTTCGATATTTGCACGATAAACGATAAAATAAATTAAATAATTATGTAAATTATACTTACTTTATCAGGATAATTACCACCACAATGGACATCGCATCTAGCAATATTGATAGAATCATACTCCTCGATGTATTTGGTCCAAGATGCAAAACATCCTGGTACAAGCAACCACCAAAGCCACCATTCTGCAAAAAATTGACAACAATATTGAATAACATTGTGACTGAAATAAATTGAAATTCCAATGAAACAAAATGCAATGAGCTTACATGGATTAAATTACATGCATTTGCTTTCATGCGAAAGGTTGATACTGATACGAATACTTGGTAAATGTATATAGCATACACTACTGTCCAAAAGTTTGAAAGCAATGAGGAATTTCAAATAATATCATCAAAAGTTATGTATTAATTTATAAAAGATTTTTTATTTCATGCAAAAATGTCATTGTTTCTAAAGATTTTGATAATGTATGTGATGTGTAAATGCAAACAAAATATCACGTAAAACGATTAAAATTTTATAAAAAAGCTTTGTTTTAAAAAATTATTAAAAAATATGATAAAATATTTATAATATAACATAATTTATCAAGTAATGTTCATAAAATAATTTATCAAATAGTAAATATAAAATTGATCGAAAAAATATCTAAATGAAAATAAATGATTATATCAAAATATTTACATTTTAATATATAGATATGTAATAATTTGAATAAACATTTTATAATCAATAATATAAATTATAAATCATATTGATGAAATTCTGATCACGTATGTACATACTTGGTAACAAGACGTCCAACGACATGCGTGATTAATATGTATAAAGTACTTACTAATACTTGTATAAACTGGTATGTGTAGCATTAACGAATACAAGCGATTATGTACAGTAATTAATGGTGAAATCCGAGTTGCTTAAATCGAAATACACATTGTGGCATGTATGGTATGTATACATTCGTTACACTATCACGCAATTTTTTGCAATTAAGACTTTACATTTTTTTCATTTAATTATATTTATTTTTCATTTATAAATTATTCTTTTTTAGAGATTGTTTTTGTAATTTATATAATTTACATCCATATAGATATCTATGCATTTATATTTTAATATGAATTATATACTTTAAAAAATTTATTATCTATTATCAATCCTATTACAAATGTTATTTTATAATAGGAAAAGAAACCAAATATTTTATATTTGTATACCAAAAAAATGTACAATAATTTTATTTTATGACTATATCAAAATTATTCTTTTTTGTCTTTGTTAATATTGTGAATATATTATAAGATAAATTATTTATATATGGTGATTCATTTCAGGAAAAATTAACAAAAAATTTTGTTATATCTTCGAGTTCATTTGCGAAAAATAAGGATATTCAATCATTTAAATTAACTAAAAAAAGTTGGTAAGAAGTAGTTTAAAAAACCGGTTCAATTATTGTGATATAACTTCACTGTACTTCGTGATGCCAAATAATAAAAGATTTAAATACATTTTCGGTATTTCTGGAATATTTTACGTAACTGTTTACGATATTTTTATAATATAACATTTTAAAGAATTTATATTTAAAAAATTTATAATGTTTTATGTATAAAAAAATGATAATGAGATTCGTCATTAGCAATGGACGAAAATTTTTGTTCAACATATATAATGAAATTACATAATATTAAAAAATGAACAAATATAAATACTAAAGTTTGGTAAAATAACATTTTATTAATATTTTTAACATAATTGAAAGAACGATGTTTTATGTAAAAGAACTTTCACATTTTTATATTCATGGTTTTTTTTTTGTTTAATGATAAATATATTTAATTATCCATAAAATGAAATTATTCATAAGATGTTTCATAAAATATATTTCATCAATTTTTTCAAAAGTTAGAAGTTTTGGATAATTTATAAATTTTAAATAATATAAATAGAGAATTAAACGAAAGTAATATTTTGATTCTTCTCCTAAAATTAATTTGACATAACTAATATAAAACTATGTCATATCTATGTCATATAAATCTTGTTATATTTCTCTCAATGTTTTCATGTATAATTAATAATCAAACATATTTTTAAATGATTTTTTTTATATAAATAAAATTATGTTTTATATCTTTTTTTCGATAAAAATTTCAATAATTGTATCAAACAAAAATTAAATAAATAAATATATCTTAATCATTTTTTTCATATATATATTATATATATATACATAATATACATAATATACATATATATATACATAAATTGTTAAAAACTAAAAATTAATTAATCGCGATCTTGAAATAACAATCTTCACCAAAATTTTATCAAAAAAAAAAAAAATATATA